TCCATAGTGATATGTAGGGTGTGGTTTATATAAGGTTGCAACATTAAACAATCCAATTAAGGAGCACCTCTAAATTTTATCATAACAATTAATTTTGGTGTAAAAAATTAGGAATATCTAAAAATCTATATTCATATCTAATTATAAAATTTTAAACTCCAAAAATGGTTAAAATAAAGTAGATCTATAAACATATGAAAATCTTGAAAATGAACGGTCTAGATAATATATTGCAAGGTGCACTACTTCTAGGACTCAAAATCTTTTTCTTATATATATATATATATATATAAATACGTCTCGATGTCGAGATGATCAATTGGAGGGTTTTTTAACATTAAACCAACCTTTTTCAATGGATTTTTTAGGTGCATCTGTAATTCTATATTTTAAGGTTGCAACTTTATATAAACTTTTTCCTTGATATGTATCTAATGTACATCCATACGGTAGTTAAAATGCCGTATAATATGGCTTAGGTTTTACGGTATTTAAAGTATCATAATTTAAAATGCCGTATAATATGGCTTAGGTTTTACGGTATTTAAAGTACTGTAATATTAATTCAAGTTATTACGGTAATACGACTACTGTGAAGGTCATTTTGGTCACAAAATGACCAAAATTGAAGAAAAAGGGTGTGGACGAGGTTTATGAAAGTTGGGTTTTTTTCTAAATAGACGAAAATTAAGGTATATTTGTGATAATTTTCCTTATTTTTATATATTTTAATAGATAACTATTAAATTTATTTATATTAAATAATATATATAAATTATATTAAATAATATATAAAAAGTTGAAGTCTCTCTCCAAATTGACCGAATCACTGAATTGCTTCATTTTGCCAAACCGAAGAAGGCTCCAAAACCGAATTTGACAACATTGGTTTGAAGAAACGTCTTGTTTTTTTTAGTTACTCTTCTTGTAACTACTATTTTTTTAGGAAATTTGGAAAAAAATTTATCAAAATTAAGGCTTGGACCATATTTTTTCGAATCTTACTCTGAGGTCCCTGTTTTTCTTTTTTTTTTATCCCAGTTTTCCCACGAGTCATGTAGTAAACACTAGAACAATTTTTTATTTTTATTTTTTTTTCCTTTCTGGTTTTTAGGGCTCCTAATACCCCCAATATCGAACCAAACCATTGTTGGGTGGTCCGTTATTGGAAATATTGAACCGCATTAAACTAAGTATTTTTCATTATGTATGGACCGGTCACATGCCTTCAAAATTTTACCACATTTGTCATATATGTTAAAAATTATATAGTGGTCCGATGTCTCTAACTCGCTATAGAGGAGTTTTTTCAAAATCGAATCGGAATGGTTAACCAGACATGGTCGAAACCAGACCGGTTTGGTCTAGTAGATTTTTTTGAAAAGGGCAAGCTTTCTATGCTTCCCCTACAGCATAAAACTTATGTACTTCCCCTTATCCAACCATCCATTTAGAATGGAGGGCTAAGATTGCCCCAATCACAATGTCACATCTCTACACTATTTTATTTTTCATTTTTTTTTCTATAAGCTATTTTGGCACCAAATTTTGGACGTCCAATCATCTATTAAACTAGCACTAACACAAAATATAAAAATAAATATATTTCTAATAAAATAAAATGACCAAAATACCCCTAAATGTTTCAGGGGTATTGTGGTCATATATTTTATCAAAAAATTATTTTTCTTATTTTTTATAGGTGCGACCCAATGAGAAGATGACATGTACTAAATTTCATATTCATAAAATTCGTATACAAAAAACTAAAAATAAAATACTTTGAGACATCGGATCTAAGATCAAACGGTGAGTGGCTCTCTTGATCAAAATTGGACGACTGAATGGTAGGGGAAGCATAGATCTTCTATGTTGTAAGGGAAGTATAGAAACATTTCCCTTTTAAATGAAATGGGTCAAAAACACCTAAAAAATAAAAATAAAAATAGAAAAACAAAGATTAGTGTATGTGTTTTGTATTATGGCCCTTAGGCTCAATAGCTTTGATATTGTCATCTTTAGAAATAACCAGGTTACAGTGCCGGCTACAGCTTCGTCTATCCATTATCCAACTGAGTATATTAATTCTTCACATTGATGTGTGGTATTTTTTCTTTCGAAAATTATACAAAGTACAGTAAAAAGACACCAATTTCGAATTCAAGTGATAGTAATTTTTTCATTATGGTAACTGAACGATGCTTGAGCAAAATAAATATTTTTCTAGCAAAATAAAGAGTAACTAAAAAAATCGTTTTAAAAAAAAATTCTAAATGAAAAGTCACATGCAATTCATACCTGTATTCTCAAATGTAGAAATCGATCACCAAATCGAGCACAAAATGGAGCAGTTGGCAGATGATTTTTAGCTCAGTTTAGAAAAATTGAGTAGATGTCGTAATCTTTCAAAATCGAGTCAAATCTCAGATTTTCAAATTAAGACTTGAATCTTGTGACTACCTCCATGATCTATAAAGCCCCTAGATTTTGATTGAAAAGAATCAAAATCGAATCAACAATCCGGAGTAAGGCGGATTTGTTCAACTCAGCTCTAAAAAACTGAGTCGATGCCCTAATCACTCAAAATCGAGCTCTATGTCTCGGATTTTCAATGCAATTAGGACTTGAATCTTGTGACCAACTCCATGATCTACAAAAACACTAGATTTTGATTAAAAAAAAACTAAAATCGAATCAACAATTTGGAGTGTGGCATATTTTTTCAACTCAGCTCCAAAGAGCTGAATTGATGCTCTAATCGCTCTAACCAGCCAATTTGTGTATATTTCGATCGGTTTTGGTCTGAGCTTTTTTTTTGTGTATACAAACTAGAATCCCAAAACTAGGTCTAACCGAAATCGTAACTCGAACAATTCTGATCTAACAGGCCAGTTCCAATTCTAACCGACCGGTTTTGATTCTAACCAGCCAGTTTTTTCTACACTGCCATAAGCATGTTTCCAATACGCAGCAACATCAGCTGATCACGAGCTATGTTTCCAATATGCAACAAAAGCATGATCCACCACAGCATGGTCATCATAATTAACATCAAACGGTTTATGGAACAACATGACGTACGTAGCAATCATTGCAATGTTAAAAACTATTAAATAAGGATCGGAAACATCATATGGCTTAATTTCTTTTCTTTTTTTTTAAAAAAAATATTGAACCAGGCCATCAAAAAATAATAATAATAATTAAATAAAAAACATGACGTAATCTAATATTTTTAATATCATAGCATCCCAATAAAAGATCGGTGTGATACCTTGTAAACCAGAAAATTAAAAAAATATGGTACGATTTTAAAAACATCCGCTGAGGGCAAAGTTGAAATAAAAAATAATAATGATTCTCCAGGTACAATTGCTCAAAATATGGACTATTGCATAGTTCTGGAAAAGTTTTCCGATCTATATGTAATTTTTCCTTTTCTAACTTGTACATAGTTTTCCTTTGTTTGGATCACTACGGTCAATATTGGACCCGCACTAACTACAAACCGATATTGGACCAGCACTAACTTGTACAGAGTTTTTCCTTTGTTTGGATCACTATCAATATTGGACCAGCACAAAAGGGATTTACGAAAAGGATTTAGTTTAATCAAAATTGATCCGACCACGGTTGAATAAGTAGGTCCAGCTTTTAAAAAACATAAATAAAAATAAATATATAACAATTTAAACAAATTTTATTAAAAAAAATATCCCAACAACATTTAACGAAACATGCTGCTAAAATCAAACAGGCCATCTGACCAAAAACTGATCGAATATTGGTTCACTGATTTTCTAGCAAAATTGGTTTTTACTTCACTGGCTCGGCAGTCCAAGGTTCAAAAAAACAGCGAACCAACCGAACTCAACTAGTTTGGATCAAGAACAAATGGGGCCAATTCAATTCAACCAAAAGATCAAGAACCAGTCAGTTCCCTCTATGAGCCGACCAATTCTCTAACAAAACCGGCTAGTTCAATTAAAAGAACCAGTTAGAATCAGCTCCTATTTTATTTTTTTAGTTGTTTTTCAATTTTATTGGCTGGTTCATTCGGCCAGATCATCGATCCACCAAACCAAATTGGTTTTTCAAATGGGCGATCTGAGCTACCAATCCCCGATCTGTTATTTTTATACCTCGGTAGGGACTTTCGCCATGGCCATAGAAGGCAACTTGATGGAAACTTCCCAAAATGAAAAAACTAGGAAAATGATGTTTCCAGCATTAATATAAAATCACAATCATTCCCACTCATTAGGTGTCAAATTGGATGACTTGAAATGAGTCACAAAATCCGAGAATTTTTCTTTTTTTTTGGAACCTTTTGTCTATTCAATGACACTCTTACAACCACCTATTTTGAAACTTAAGAGACAAGAATATTTGTGACCTTCATGTATCTTATGTACATAGAGATCACAAATATTCTTGTCTCTTAAATTTTAAAATAGGTGGTGGTAAAAATATCATTGAATAGGCACAAGATTCCAAAAAAAAAAAAAATCTCGAACTTCATAACTCACCCTAAATCATCTAATTTGACATCTAATGAGTGGGAATAATTGTGACCTCATACTATGTTGGAAACATCTATTTTCCTAATTTTTTCATTTTGGGAAGTCTCGAGTGAGTGGCCTTCTATGGTCATGGGCGAAAGTCCCTACCAAGGTATAAAAAAAACAGATCGGGCATGAAAAGAGCTACAAAAACCATCAACTAAAATTAGATTTAAAGAAATTTACGCAATTTAAAATGTAGAAGAATACTCTCACTCAGTTTCAGCTAATAAAAGCAGCAACATCTCCAAAAGAATTTATTGAAGGAATAAAACATAACACTCATCACTATTCCATTTCTAAATTTTATTTTATTTTTTAAATTGTTAACTGTATTCCATTCCTAAATACTAGAAGCTCATTTCAATTCAATGATCATAGCATCTCCACCCGGATTTTTAAAAACTTTAATAGAAGAATCCCATAACAACATATTCAGTTCGATTGAAATCACATATCAGAATCCAGGATATCAAATCTAGACTATTACAGCAGCGTCGTGAATTTTGAGTACCCATTGCATGATGAGAAAAGCAGAACTCACAAAATAGATTCCTTTGGTATCCAATATAAGATTTCTCATAATTCTACTATAGCAACTCGTCCAGGAGGAAAAAGTCAAAATAAAAAGGAAATTATACACAACATGATACGTATAGAAACCACATTATACTTAAAACATGAGTTAGTGTAGCATTTCACGGGGCCGTACCACCAATTGCAGATAGCTCCTTTACCTCGGAACACAAATGATCAGTGACTCAAGAACTCACCACCCCAAAATGGCCTCTGATACAAAACCAATCCACAATAAAAATGTCAGCAATCAAAAAGTGAGAAAACCTAACAGTAAACTTTTCGTGAATCAAAAGACCGGATGCATGAAGGTCTCTAAGAACCCACCATCCCAAAATGGCCTCCGCTACATACAAAACCATCCCTCAATAAAAATGTCAGGATTCAGAAAGTGAGAAAAGCTAACAGTAAATACTATAAGAGAGACAGGTCTGGTGTGGTCAATAAGGAATCATGAGATGATGATAAATCAATCCTCTATAAATCACAGAAGAGAGATCCATTTAGAGAAAAAAATAGACACAGCCTGATGCAAAGTGCAGAGAGAGAGAGTTTGTGTGTTGTGAAGGTTCGCACCTGAAGAGTCCACCTACTTCTGACTCTTCTTCCTCCACAAATCCCCGAACTTCTTCAGCACTGCACCTTTCTTCTTAGGTGAATTCTCATCTCCATCCTCATCAAACGGTGACGCACACCTTCCCCCCGAATAGTCCATCGACCCCGACCTAACCACCAAATTCCCATTGTCATGGGTGGCCGCAAGCACGGTGGCTGCTGCATCTGCTGCCTTCTTCCACTGCTCAGTCTGAACCCTCAGTCTCCTCATCTCAGCCTCCAAAGAAGCGTTTGTAGCCTTTGTTGCCTCCAGTTCCTCAGCAATCTTATAAGCCTTCAACTCATTCTTCTCTGCCTCTGCAATTGCAACCTCAAGCCTTGCAAGAGCCTCTTCCTTCCCTTTCTTCACAGCATCAACCTCAGCCTTTGAGTTCCAATCCTCTCTCTTCTTCTCGACCTCGCTCTTGAGCCCCTCGTTCTCTTCTGATATGCTTTGGAGCTCAGTCTCTTTGTCCATTAGATCAGCCTTCATCTCCAAAACATCTGCCTTTGATTTCTCAAGCTCAATTTTTAAATCCTTTAGCAAACCCAAGAGCTGTGCCTCTCTCTCATTCAACTCCTCTGAAGACCTCTCTGCGTCTGCCTTTACCCTCTCAGCTGCTTCACGTGCGCTCCTCATTTGCACAGTGGCATTGATCTGAGCCTCTTGGAACCTCACTTCTACAATTTCAGCCTCCGCTCTAAGTTGCTCAATCTCTGCTTTTGAAGCCTTGAGCTCAGCTCTCATATGCTCGTATTCTAAGGTGTGATCAGAGCCATGGTCAGATTGGGATCGAAGTAAATCACACTCTAGCTTGGTTATGCATGCCTTGAGAGATCCCACTTCAGCTCCTGCTTCCTCTAACTCCAGATTAACAGCATTTGCAATTTCCTTCAAATGCAAGGCCTCATTCGCTTTCGTAAATGCAATGGCTTCCGACTTCTTGCATTCTTCAAGCTGTGATTTCAAGTCTTGGATAACATCTAAGGCTTCATTCATCTCTTGCCTGAGGGCATGAAGCTGAGAGTAGGCCTCACCAGCCTGTTTGGCATGTAAGACCTTTGAGTCCACAGCAAGTGAGAACTCATGGTTAAGACGCTGAACTTCTTGGACGGCTGATACAAGGGCGGAAGCATCAGCAGAGTGCTGCTTTTGCACAGCTTCGAGTTCAGATTGCCATGCTCGATCCCGCTCATGAGAGATATGACGAAGCTCAGATAGACGAGCATCCTCAGCAGCTGAGAGCTCAACAAGGTGATGCTGAGATTGGTCAAGCTCTGCTGCCATGGCAGCAAGCTGCTTCTTTGTGTCCTCTGCTTCTTGCTGGGCTCTCCTCTTAGAGGATTCAGCTGATGATAGTTGTTCCTTGGTTTTTTTAAGGTCGTCTTGGAGCTGGGTTAGCTGGGACTCTAGCTCTGATATCCGACTTGTTGGGCGCTTCTTCTGCGATTCGAAGAAGGGGTATCAAATGTCGAGCACTTTTCTTCGGAATGATCAAATATTAGTCAATTAAGGCGCCATTGCTGTATTGATATTATTCAACGAAGTTGGAGAATTCATCAAGCACCACTTCAATTCAAAAGACTAGTATGATCAACTTGGACTCCAAGGCGACGTTAAAAAACGTATGGTCCAAATAAACATGGGATTGAAAAGGAAAAAGCAAATTAAAAAGAGGATGGATTAGTTTGTTTCCAGTGGGTAGTCAGTTTTGATCAAGCAGTTCAGGGAGCAGAAGCCAATAAATATAGGTAAATACAGGGCAAAAGTAAGATCGGTTTGGTAATAGTGGCAAAACCATAGTTATCTGTAAAACTTTTTACAGAGACATAGGTAGCAGACAAGGTAAAAGTGCTTTCGACAATGTCAACCAAAACTATAGTAAATTTATCATCGGACAATGCTGGTTTCTTTCTGTGATGGAGGATAGCAGCATCTTTGAAGATACTAATTACATCATTTGGGTTTTCAGGAAACAACGAAAACAGCAAAAAACAAGAACCATCAATGTTCTTTGCAAAAAAAAAAAAAGCATTTCAATAAACTCCAGTGAAGAGGAAATGAGGGGAAATAACATTTTTAAGGAAGCTCTACTGCTTCCTAAAATAAAATACCTCTGCCTACCACTCAAGCATTTTTTATTTTTTGAAGGACACTCAAGAATTTTTTATTAACCACAAAGATGTATATAATTATTTAAAAATAAGTTATCAGTAACCAGCAGAATCTCCTTGTGCGTATTTCTCTCTTAATGATGCAAGTGTACCTCAGTCACCGGGCTTCTTGGTGATCTTCTATCCACAAGTTTAGGACTCCGTTCAGTGGGGGTCCGGGTTGCTGAATGCACCGAGGCTGAGTCAGATTCTGAGCCCGGCGTCTTAAGTTGACGAGCTGCTGTTCTGGGGGTGCCAGCAGGTGACGTCCGGTGAGGCATTTCTGTAGAACTGTTTCTGCTTCAAAAATATTCATAGTTGTCAAACAGCAGTTTATTCCTAAATTAAGTATGCCAAATAATATCCAGACTAGAACATAGTGCAAGTTAGGTTTTGAATTACTAGTGAAGATGTAACTGAACAAAATGAGTTCTAATGAACTGGAATGTTCAATCGATTGCACCAAACATGTAAACATTTACCATCAAATTCCATAAAGCTTATTGTATGCTTATGACCAACAAAAAAGCAATCTAAATTGAAACATGTGTACGTGGTGGTTGCACTAGTTCAGATAATACTGCTTATGACCAAAAATATTCCATTATCAAATATAAAATGTGTGTGCGCATATACTGTGTGTGTGTGTGGACATTGTTACATAATGGACACGAAAGTAATAAGAACAAACCCCACTAAGGTGAGGATTTCTTATATGGCATGGTATCCCTGATGTCAACACGTAATAGAAGTGAAAAGAATATGAGCCTCACATTTTGGAAATTTGAAATGTAGAAAGCACAAGCTCCTGAGAAGTGAAAAAGGCATGTACAGCGCTACATTCCTCCAGAATGTTGACTAACAGTAAGTACAGACGCATTCCCATTGTAAGAAAAGGCCCAGCTTTTCACGCCTCCCAAGAATGCACGCCAAAACAAGACGCAGGGACATACAATAAGACAAAACTCAGACATAAACTGAGAAAAAAATACCGATAAAGCTATGTCACACTTCATTTTATCAACTCCAGCTGTCTCAATCAAAGGAAAATGCAAACAAGGAGTAAATCCGATTAATATTTCAAAAATCAGTAACGGACTCAAGGCTAGGTGGTCAGGATGGTGGGGAATTACAATGTCACATCTCGGGGAACTGACCCTTTCCTCACTAAATTACCCAAAAAAAAGAAAGTTCATGAATCTGGTTTTTAGTTTCCAAAAGTAAGATATATCTGTCATTTCCTAGTCAATTTTTAAGATCACATAGAAAAAGATGAGAAATTTTCTAGAACCAAAATGAGCAAGAACCCATGATACCAAATTCCCCCCCCCCCTCTCTCGATCTCCATGTATGAATTGGTTAAGTTTGGAAATGATAGAGAGAGAGTAAAACAAGAATCAATGAGTGAATGAGAGATGCACCTTGTCTTAGGTGTCTGCATAATGGTGATTGAGTTTCCTGTTTACAGTCCTTCAGTGACACACTGGACCTGCAACCCAACCCAATATGTGGAAAATATCAGACACACACAGGACTCACGGCTCTGAGTACTTACTATTACTGCACATGACCACATTAAATACAGGAATCATGGCCTCCATGCTCTCCTCACCAATAGCAATAAGTCCATCATATCATCAAAATTCAAACACACAAGGGAGGAGAGGAGAGAGAATGATGGACCACGTGCATGAGCAAGGACAAAGAGATTCCCATCCACCCAATCACAGTAAAAAGAAAGGTGGTTTTTTTGTACTCCTTCAAATTATAGACCCACACCCCTTATTAAATAGAGCCCTGACAATCAAGAAATCCAGGACAATACCAACAAACAGAAAAAAACCATGCCTCATTCAAATTAATTACACAGAAATTCACTGTCCCCACATAGATTTTTCATTGTTGTTTATTAAATAAGTTGTCCTTCCTGATTTTCCTTCTCTTAGTCATGAAAATTAAAACACATATTGAAGTTTCAGTAATATGCCAAAACAGGACAACAATCAATATAGTAGAAACTAAAGGGGTTTTGATCATTGCTATTTATTTTATTACTTGTTATGGGTTGATTTTTACTTGGCCTCTTGATGGAGGCAAGTGGCCCCATCCCACCAAGACTTTTGTTGCTTCTTTCACTTTACTCTTCTCTCTACCTAATGCTTTTTCTTCCTTACTCAATGGGAAAGCACCCCATTATTATTACTATTATTATCATTATTATTTTTTCCTGCGCCTAACACCCAAAGGCCCTTTTTCCATCTTCCAAAAAGAGACAATCATGAATCCAGAAAAAGCCAAACCCTTTCTGAAATTTTACAAACCTTTCCTTGCCTTCCTGAATTTCAATATACAAATGGCAACCATTTTTTTCAGAAAGAAGGAAAAATAATAAAATTATGAATATCTCCCACACAACAAGAAAACAAAAAAAAATTTGATTCAAGACTCAACAAGAAAACAAAAATATTAAAAATTGTAAATGCAGAAATTCATCATTTTAAGCAGTTATTCACACACTGCTATAAATTTAAAATGCTTAATATTGAGGTGGCTTTTTTATCAGACGGCCATTTTCCCCCAAATCTTCTTGTACTTCACTTTCTCGTTTTTTTTTTTGGCTACTTTCATTAATTGGGTTTTTTTGAAAAAAAAATCTACGAAATTCTTGATCAGGTTTTCTCAGCATACTGAGTATTTGCCACAAAGAATTCTTTCAATAATTTGGAACCCGCAACAAAAAAATGCTTTTTCCCCACAACGAAATGCACCAAGAAAATAGAAGCTTTCTCTTCTCCCATCACATATTTCTCACTCCTGGGGTACAGAATCAAGACTAAAATACAACAGATCATCAAAAGCTCACCTGATCTTTCTGCACCTTGTTTGTTTCTTCTTCTAAAGCACCACAATATCTTTCTAACCGGCACAGAACGCAAAATAAACTTTATCCCTTGTTCTGCAAAATTTCATCATGCTTGCTTTAAAATGCCAAAAAAATATTTCAAGAAATTTTTAGCGGGAAAAATTCCATGGGGGAAATCAGAAACTTCAAAAAAAAAAAAGGAAATAAAAAGAATAAGAAGCATGAATCAATACGTGGGGTTTAGAGAGACACAGCAAGCCTGCACATTATTACTAGTAAAAGGAAGCATTTAGAAAAGAAAGCAAAAGAAACAGAGAAAAAAGAATCTTAGCCATTAAAAAACAGAGCTGAACACAAAGGGGAAACTGATTAAAATTTTGATCGCCATCCAGATAGAATAAACGTAAAAGCGCAGCGACAAATACACAAATTTAGAGAGAAGTGAAGCTCATAAAACACAGAATGATGACACCAGTGCAGCACAAACTACAAATCTTTACAGAAACAGAAAAGGAGCGCACCACTCTTCTCATGAATGCAGCCCATCTCCACCGCACTAGCTTAAAGCAAGTAAAAAATGAACCTCAAAAAAAATAAAAAATAAATAAATAAAATATACTTCATTCTACAAAACTCACCTGATGCCAAGCCTCCGACTCAGCAAAAGTCACATTTCACCAAAACATGTGGAGAGAGAGAGAAAGAGAGAGGGAGAGAGAGAGGCCAAAAATGTAGGAGAACAATGACCAGAGAAAACCCAAACTCTGTAAAAGGCTTTTGAGAATGAGAGGATAGATGATCAGATCAGAAAGATATCTCTTTCTCTTCGATCTGGTAATACAAGGAGTAGCTTAACAACTCTGACGAAAGTTGTGGTCCTGCAGGCCCGTCGAATCACAAGAAAGTTGCAGAAAGTGAAAAGAGGTCAATATACAAAAGAAAAGGGCAGAGAGAGAAGAAAGAGACTTTTGTTACTGCTGATATGATATCCAGTGCCACAATCCATCTCACTAAAAACCTAGTTAGCGTTTGTGTCTCTCTCTCTTCATCATTCCCGAGAAGGTTAATGGGGCCTTTTGGCGCCCGCTGCTGCAATGGCAGAGTGCGCCGTAAATGAGCGGCAAGCAAACGCAACCTATGTCCCCCCTCTCTCTCCAACCAACATTTTCAAAAAACAAATTTTAAAAAAATCACATTTTAAATTTCAAATGTTTTTATTTTTTTTTTCATGATCACGGTAATCTAGATCATTAACCATTAAAATTTTAGATTGAAAATCCATTTCTAACATGGTTTAAGAGCAGGCCCCGCATATGTATAATATCAGTCAGCTGACTTATAATAGAAACCTGCATTTGAGTTTTAGTGGATTTTAGAGAGGATACAAAAATGGAGAATGGATTTTGTTTTGGGTGCAGTTTGTATAGAGTTGCGGGTTTTAAAACATTAAATTAAAGCACACTTTCAAAAAGTGTTGAGAAATGGCGTATCAATATTAAAAAAATTTATGAGGGCTTTAAAATATATTTTTATTTTTAATTATAAATTTAAATTTTCAAAAATAATGTAGACAAGCAAATTTATAAAAATTTAAAAATCGGAAAAATTGATGGTCCAAAAATACATTACAAAATATATTATTTTTCAAATTTAAAATCTAATTTTTTCTCATATCCATGCATCTCCATGTTGAGATGAAAAATTTGAAGATATTTAAGCATCTAAACAACCTATTCTAAAAAAATGTTTTGAAGTCGGCTTTAATTTGATTGTTTAGAACTTCGGCTCTATATAAACCTTTTTCTTGTGTTTGGTCGTGCTTTTGAATTTGGATCAAAGAAATATAGAAAATGATGGAGCCGCGCAAAAGCAGGTGCGTGTTTTGTTGTATTGCTTGTACTAAGCTTCCTTTTTCAAACCACGCACTCCAATTAAGGACAACTCCAATTAAGGACAAATGTTACTAAACTATACTTGTTACCTCTTGCCTTTATTTCTCGTTTTGTTTGTTAGAGTCCAGATAAAGTGGAATATTTTAAGGAAAAAGTTTATACAAGAAGGCTACCTTATTACGTAGAACCATGGATGCCTTTCAAAAATCTATCGCGAAAAAGTAATTTTAGTGCTGAAAAACCTTTTTATTGATCGTCTTGACATGACTATGAAAAATAAAAAGATTTTAGAACTCAAAACTAATGCATTTACAACATATTATCTACACCATCCATTTTCAAGATTTTCATATGTTTATTTATAGATCTATTTGATTTTAACTATTTTTTAAATTTAAAATTTTATAATTAGATATAAAAATAGATTTTGAGATAATCCTAAAAACATTTTACATCAAAATTATATACCCTAATAAAATTTGAAGGTGCACCTTACCTCTACACCTATGGATGCATCCGTTTGGAAATTGCACCCATATTTTAAATAAGAGATTTATACCCATAAAGGGAAAATTTTATATAGAGCCGAGGCTTTAAACAATCAAATTTGAGCCTACCTCAAAAAGTTCATTAGAAGAAGTTGTTTTGATGCCCAAATATCTTCAAATTGATCATCTCGATATCAAGATGTATGGACATGAGAAAAAAATAGATTTTAAGCTTTGAAAATAGTGTATTTTGTAACACGTTTTTAGACCGTCAATTGTCAAGATTTTCAAGTTTTTATAGATCTGTCGATCTGTACTATTTTTGAAGCTTTGAACTTTATAAATAATTATGAAAATATATTTTAAGGCTGCCACAAAGATTTCCAATAATAAAACCACATTTCTCAATACTATTTGAAGGTAGGCTCTAATTTGATTGTTTAGAGGCTAGGCTCTATACAAACCGTACCTTTATATAAAAATAAGATTGCAATGATCTATAAAATTTAGGAAAAATTATGTAAATATCCATTATATTTCTAGTTATTACAAAAATACCTTAAACTTTTCGTTATTACACAATATCCGTTTTTTAACTTGATAATAGTCTTCTTTTTTTTTCTTTTTTTTTTAAAAAAAAAAAAAAACGAAATTGCCCAATTTCAGTTTTTGAAAAAGCGAACTTTTTAAATTTTGATTTTTCAAAAACTATAAATTTTTTTGATAGCTAGATGATTTCGAAAAGTTGAGCTATTTTAATGGTGGAAGCCTCCGTGAGAATGGAGGTCGATTTAGAACAGGCCCTAGCGGCAGCTGCTGATAGTGGGGAAGCTTTGGGTCGAATGATATTTGATTGGGGAGGTCGATTTAGAACGTGCCCTAGCGGCGGCTTCTGAAGGTGGGGATGCTGCAAATTGACTCAGCATCCCTATTGAGATTGTTTACCCTGTATCTTCTGGTGCACATGGCACCATCTCAACTGGTATGTCGTACCAATTTGCTCTTTCCAGTTTTTTATACTTTTAATTTTTGGGAATAAAACTACTCTCACCTCCCTTCTAATTCAGATTGGATGATTGCTTTACTGGGTAATGTAATGATTAAAAATGATGGCTGGTTTTGTCCTCTATTGAGATCACTGTATGAAGTCTGGACCAATTTCTCAAGAGCTTCTTGAAAAATCGAACCTTTTTCAAAGCTTAATTGCTTATTGGGCTCAACAAGCAGGAGAAAATAAGATAGAGAGTAAAGCGTGGGGTGAGAAGTAGAGAGAGATTATACAAGTTGAGACGTTAAATTATAGAACTAAGGCACACCTCAAAATGTCCATTTTAATATTGGAAAACCATCTAATTGACTGTCTCGATGCAGAGATGTATTAATAATATGAGAAAAATGATTTCAACTCTAAAAAAGCAATAATATATCTTGTAATATTATCTGGACCATTCATTTTTAAGATTTTCATATTTTTATGGATCTGCTTGATTTTAACCGTTTTTTAATTTTAAAATGTTCTAAGTAGGGATGAAAATATACTCTCGGGCCACCCTAAAAAATTTCGATACCAAAATTGCATCTTATAACAAAGTTTGGTGGTATGTTTGAATTTGATTATTTAAGGTTGCAACCTTATGCAAAATTTCGCCATGTCTTAAAAATCACATTATTTTGTGACATTGTTTTGAAAAATGCGTCAAATCTATGTGCTTAATTAAATGCACATTCTAAAGCAACAACTTCACTTTTAGGAATAAGGCTACAATTTCGTATAGAATGCAGTTTCTACAAAGCCTAGATCTTATAAAAAAAAAGAGTAAAGCCTTACATTGAAACCTCATCTTGTATGCCATGAAGTTTAACATGGTGCTCCAAGGACGCGTGCTTACACAATTTAAGGTCTTGCAGCTTGGACCAATGCTATGCAATTTAAAGCTTTGTACTTTGTACCAATGCTATGCAGTTTAAGATCTTGTTACTCAGACCAATGCTACGCAGTTTAACTCTTGTAACTTGGACCAATGCTACGTAATTTAAGGTCTTGTAGCTTGGACCAAGGCTACGCAGTTTAGGGTCGTGCAGCTGAGACCACTGGTTATAGGTAGTAATTCTTCAGATGACACCTATTAATTGGGGGCATAGCTTCTTCTCAATTAGCATGAACCAGAATATAGCCTTCATTAGGGAAGGCTTTCTTGACCACAAATGACCCCTCCTATTTTGGTTCAAATTTTTCCTTGTGGTTGTTGTGAGTCACGATGGGACGTCTAACTGCTAGGACCAGCTCACCCTTGGTGAATGAGCGGATTCGACTACCTTATCAAAGCTTTGTCTCATCAAGCTCGATAGGCCTCAAGGATTTGTTAGGCCGCAAGCCTCTTTTCATCAAGTGCATCATGTTCCTGGTATCAGAGCTTTGTTTGCTCATCATCGGTCATCCCGCGGCGAACAGCTACGAAGTGAGGGGAGTTACATGTCTAATGGCAGGACTACTTCATTTCCATCGACCCAGGAGATGGGGGTCGACCTAGTAGAATGCGCATAGTGGTGCGGTAAGTCCATAAGACTTCAGGGGGCTTCTCATGTCAATTCCTCTTCATCTTGGAGATAGATTTTCGTAGGGCATCATAGAGGGACTTGTTAAAGGCCTCAGCTAGGCCATTGGCTCAGGGATGGTACATAGTCGAATACTTCCATTCAAAGCTGAACTGGTTAGCCAGGTGGTCTATGTGGTTGCTACAAAACTAGTGACCATTATCTGAAGTAATCCGGCCAGGCACACCAAATTGGTAGATGATGTGGTGGTAAACAAAGTAAACGACAGTAATCTCAGGGACTTGCTTGAGAGGGGTGGCCTTAGCCCACTTGGAGAAGTAGTCAGTGGCAGCTAGGATGAAGACATGCCCTGCAGCAAAAGGTGGGTCAATGGGTCCCACAATGGCCATGCCCCATTGCACGAATGACCATGATGCCACTATAGGATGGATAGTTTTGCGGTCTAATGGATGAAGCATGTGTGTATCTTGCAAACTTGGCATCTCTTTACATAGGCCATTGAATTCGCAATCATAGTCAATGAGTAGTATCCCAATCTTCAGATCCAATCATAAAGCTTGGGACTGGATTGGTGCAGCCCACAGATTCCAACATGAATATCTTCGAGCACCTGATTTGCCTCCTCCTCATCAACACACCTGAGAAGCAAGTCATCAAAAGAGCGCCCGTACAAGATGTCATTGAGGCACACATATCTTGTGGTTAACTTCTGAATTTCATTACGCTTGTGACTGTGCCTGAGGAAGTCAAGTATAAGTTCTCATTAGTCATCTACTTGCTCGATCTCAGCACACAACGAGGGCTAAGCTTCTGAATCTTAATCGTTCACCTCATAGATATGGGGCTCTTGGGGTGGACTTGTGGCTTTAAGGGCATCTTTAGCTGCGAGCAGTGCCTCGAATGGGTATGGTGAGCATTCAGTGAATAACCATTGTTCATTGTCACAATCGATTCCATCCACAAACTCGATGTACGTCCTCTGTTATTGACAACTGGATGGTCGCACCTAGCTTGGTGAGCGCATCCGCCTAGGTGTTGAGCCTTTGGGGAATATGTTTCTTGTAGGGTATTTTTGACGCATGCATCCCTGGTGTGAATAAAGGATAAGTTAGTGGCAACCTAGACCTATAGATACCAAAAATTCCAAAGAACAATGACCAA